TTACACACTGGAGCTTTAAAGGGATTTGTTGAGATTATAGATTTAGAAAAATAACATTAAAATATATAATATTACCAACCTCATTGTATGAAGTATCATAAACACAAGCTGATGGATTATTTTGAAAACTAAACTATCTACCTGTGTCTAATCCAAAGTAGTCCCAGCTAGTTCAAAATTATTTTAATTTACTCTGTTTACTGTGAATTTGACCTGTCTTCAACACAAACCTCCTAGATTAAGCTGCAGATTCTAGGCCTCGGTATCGTATTCTTTCCCTTTTCACAATATGACGAATGGATCATTTTCTTTTCTCTGCACTTGAGGTTGTCCTTCACGAGACAGTCCATGAGACAAACACTCAATCCTCCTCTAACTAAGGTTCTATGGTTGCCACCCTTTCACCTCTGATTCTGCTGTTTGAGCTTATTCTCCTCACCTTGCCGATGAGCTTCCCCCTCTTGTTCATGCAGATGTAGAAGCCTGTCTCAGCTCCCTTGATGCGTACTCTGCTCCCGAACGTGTCAGTTTCCACAACGAGTTTAGCTGCAGAAATCAAACAAAAAGAGTTTTTTTAGTAACCACAGCTGCGAACAGGTTAACGTGATCTTTCGGTGCCTGTCCCAAATGAATGACTTAACAGTGCACATAAAAGAATCGACAACACAAGCAGAAATGCTCGAGTGTGCTTCCAAGCGTGCACACTCTCTCTCCTCGCACACACACTCGTACAGCAGAACACGTGGGACCATTCCTGGGGATTTATGCAAGCTGGAATACTTGCAAAATGATAAAACCACGTGTCTCTTGATTCTTTGAAAGCTAAAGAGGCGATCCTGGCAGGCCCATCAAGAATTCCTTTTAAAATAAATCTGCATTGACCTCACACATAAAGCTCCACATTTGTCTCTATATCCTGAGAAGCATTGAAAGAAACAGGAAATACGAACAGTTGACAGAGCATGACTTTATGGAGCTTTGTACAGTTTTTACATTGCTCTTCAACGAGGTAAAATAGCAGGACAATGTAGGTGAGTTTCACTACTATTGACCTTTTGCAGAGTGACAGATAGTGTGTATCTTCATTAGCAGTCTGGTGTGTTTGCACTGCTGTGATTCGACAGTCTCGTGGATATTGATCCAGAACATTTACAGCCAATGGCAGACCACTTTTTATAAATTCCATTTCAGTCCACATTGTCTCATAAAACCGGTTCCAACAGGGTTACTGGGGTCACTGAGGATGGTCAGGGCCTTTTCCACCCACCCACAGACTAACCACTACACGTCTGAAAGTTACAGTTGTGGTCAGAACCAGCAGTTACAGCTAAGCTGGATGAGTCTGTCAGACATGGGAGAGATTTCCCCTTTTACACTTTTTCTTTCATTTCATACAAAATGACTTCATGTGACCTGAATAGCTTGCATACTCTTTTTGAGGCCACACGTGAACCCTGCAACAGCTGAGCCCTGTGCAGACAGCAGCAACAAACGCTTTATCAGTAGGTTCTTAATGGAATTCAGTTCACTATAAATACAGCAATGTGTGGGCCGGATCGGCTGCAAAGGGGTTGAAGGTGGGGGGGTGGTGGAATGGGGGGGGGAAGGAGCTATGCAGGAAATGTTCGGGAGGTAGAAGTAAGATGACTTCTAATGGCTCTTCCAGACCCGCAGGATCTCTGGAGGATCACCTCCAGCACCATCTACAATCCACCGGACAGTTTCTCTGAGCCTCTTCCCCTCCAGCAGCACAGACTGGGATCACAAATGGCCCAAAGAATGACCACCACTGCCACCACCACACTGTTTGGTTAAATGGGGTCAAGAAAATGTTGATGATAAGGGGTTTCACTTAAGTCTGGAAACTGTAGCATATTGGTGCAAGATGGCAGAAACAGGCAAATCCTCCAGTGGCTGAGAAATTCTGCAAATAAACTGATTTGCATTGGGAACACTTTCATATTATATGTTTACATATCTTTATGAAAGAAACTTAAAAATGTTTTACTTTTAAGGTACTTTTCGATCATTTTTTAGATATTTTGCTCTTTAAATGCTTCAGGCCTAGAATTGCTGCACCTATCTCATCAGTTTAATTCCATTAGAATATTGACCTTGAGCCATTTTAGGGAAAAACAACGTTGGGAATAATTTCAATGAAAAAGCAAAAAAAGACATTTGGAAGTATGCTGGAAAACTCAATTATACAAAAAAAAAAAGAATAAAAAGAATTCATTTTAAAATATAGAAATTAAAAAGTAAAATAATATAAATGAAGTGGCCAACCGGGGTAGAATGTGAAACGGTTTTTAATGATTTGCATGGTGGAATTTAATAAAACCTGGGAAAGCGGAAATTTCCGTTGGCTGAACGGACAGCGAAGTGCACGTGAAAAGTGAAAGATTTCTCTTAAGGTAAAATGTATTATTCAATTTTCATTGAATTATTAATTAACGCCTCATTCAAGAAAATTATGGAATTATTTGAACAATAAAACTTAACAAATGAACAAATGAATTAATATTTTTTGGGGGGGGCGTCAGTGCTGGGTACCACTGGGATTCTCTTACCGTGCACGTCTCCGTCGTCGGCCATGGCGTTGATCTTCTTGTTGGGCAGGACCTGCACATGCTTGCCGCTGGTCCGGCTGTAGAGCTGGTAGATCCGGATCAACCTGCGGCTCACGCGGTCCGTCACTTTGCTCTGCTCGCTTACATGCTGCGTGAAATTAGGCGGGGACTGATTGGTTACCTGTCAGAAATTAGATGTCACCACAATCATCAGTACGTGTACATTTGTCTTTTTAGTGCGTGTATTTATTTATTTTTTAGAATTATTTTGCAAAAAAGGGAGGAAAAGTCAGGACTAAAGCCGAGAGTGAAGCCAATTGTGTGTCCTCTGGTAGGAAATGGTTTAAACACAGAGGGAAAGACATCCTAACGCAACAACAGCTTGTTGTTGTTTTTTCCCAGAATGACAAGTGTAACAAGTTCCAGGAGAGCCGTTGCCAAATTAAATTAACAGCTTCCAAAAAAGACGCACGGTGTGATTACAGGTTGTGCGTACAGGAGAATGTGCGCCACACCAAAAACACTCCACGAACGGGGTAAAGGCTCCACTTTCTCATCCTCCAAACTGTTTCAGCAAACTGAAACTTTTAGATTTTTTTTTATTTCTCTTTAACTCCGGCCTCTCTCTCTCTCTCTTTCCGCCGCGCGCCGCTGTGATGGAATGAAAGACGGGGACGTTGGCCCTGGTTACTTTCAACCCAACGACATTTTTCACAAGACTCGCAAAGCATTTCCCTCTGCCCCGATGCCCCGTCTGTGCCCGCGCGTCCCTGTGCCAGGGCCGGTATGTTCATCAGCAACCTGCCAGCAGGCCCGCGCGCCCCGCTGCCCGGCGCGCCGCGGGAGCCATCCGATATTGTTGTATCACATAATGTTATGATGATCCCTCACCTTTCCTCCTCTCCCTGTTACTGCAGCTCAAGCTTTGACTGCCATATGTTTTACAGATTTTTAAAATATATATATCCAATCCATATTTTAGCCCATAGTTATTTATTTAAAAAATTGCAACAGTCTGAAACATTTATGTAAAGAAAAGAAAGCAGTGACATACCTGAGCATAGTAGCAAAACGCAAATAAGTGTAGAAACCTGCGAAGGAGAAGAATAACATGCATTTAGTGAGTGCGCGGAGGAGCATTAACAGTGCGTAAAGGAGTGGAAGTGGCGGAGGAGAAGCACTCACAGATAGCTGAGTCTGGATGGGATGGGTTGCATGTTGGATGGAGGTGGATGAAGCTCTTCCAGTTGATTCTGAAGCTGCAGAGTCCGGCTGATCTCGTCAGAAAAAGAAGTCCAGAGATTTCACCCGAAATCCACAGAAAGGTCAGAGGTGCTGACGGATAAACTCATGCGCGCACATTCATCATCAAATCCATCACAGGCTCCGCTGAGTCATTAATTTCTCATTTTCAAAATAAAGACTGTTTCTGCGAGGAGGGTACCAAATCTAAGTGCACTTGCAGAAGCGGAGCTGTACGTTG